GCGGAAAGGCTCATCCGGAATGGCCGGCAGACGAAATACGAATCCCTTGGGGAGTCCGACGGAGGTTTATCCGGTGCCTTGGCGGTTGACCACACAAGCGATCTTGTCACAGCGACCGAACTTTTTGGGAGTCCCAACGAGTTTGGTAATTTCCCTCTTGTACAAAAAAAAATAATTCAAGCTGTCGTGTCACACCCACAGCTTTGGTTATATCGGATGATTCCTTTGACTAATGGTTTTTTTTCTTTTCATTATTGTTGAGGAAGAAGCAAGGGGGGGGGGGGGGGAAGGTGTCATGGTAGTACAAAATGAGGTTCACCACAGCAGACACCATCGAGCGCGGACACCGGGACAATGAGCATGTTTTTATTAGCTGAAGACCATTTTAGTGCTGATCAAGCAATACGACTTGCAAGGGTGTAATCTGTTGTCAGGTTGGTATCCTGATGAGACTCCACCTTCCCCTCTTTCCCACTCCTTATACCGACAGGATGAATTCTCAAGGAACATATTGGATTCTGCTATATAGTGCAGAGCACACACATATACACAACACACACAAACATCAATAGAATGGAATTCACCTTTCACATGTTACCCCCCCCCCAAAAAAATAACAACAATAAACAGAAAAAAGCATACTTTCTGATTCATGATGAAGGTAAATCCAAGCCTTCACAACCTTCATTTCGACGCTCATTACCACGCCAAGCTCTATCCTTTACTTCACAAATGTTGATCTAAACTGATCTCTGAGATCGCTGCACGAGGGGTGGGCTCCGCTGCTTCGATCTTCTTCTTCTTTCGAACAACTGCCACTGTCGTATCACCCTCGTTGGCACCTTGCCTATGCTCCCCACCTCCTGCCGTCTTGTGGCTTCGCTCAGCCTCCGAACTTTTCTGAATCCGCCTCAACATCTTTGTCAAGGCTATCGTTACCGGGCGGTTTGAAAAGACCGGAAGACGATGCGCTAAGGTGAGAGAGCTGCCGAAGCCGATGACAGACACGTAGCCGTCTAGTGAAGCGGTGTAGATAAATCGGGCGTTTTGACCCCAGCAAACATCTGTGATACTGCGCGCATGCAGGTCAGTAAAGTCGCTATGTCGTACGCAGCTATCAGTGGTGTAAATCAACAATGAATCGCAGGTCCATACAGCCAACGCCATGCGGTAATCCGCTGGCCCCCAACTCCCGAAAGGGTTATCTGCGGAGGAGGCGTCGCTCGTCTGAGATTCGGCACCGACCGCAGCCCCGGGATCCTGCGCTTTCGGGTCGGGGGCTTTGAGTGGATTCGCGTGAAAAGGGTTTCCGTTTTGCAACCCGTCGGCGAAAGGGAACAAGCCCGCGTCCGCAGCCTTCAGAGGGGTTTCGAGCACTAGGGGAAGGGGGTCTTTGTGAGGCAGGGGCTCAAAGAAGTATGGCGCCCATAGCACCCCGCGTAGCTCGTTATAGCCCCGAATGACTAGGCGCGCGGCAAGTTTATCGGGTGCGTTTCGTAGGTAAATATTCACGCAATGCATCATATCCTTCTCTTCTTCGTTATCGTTTTGGGCAAGGGGATCCACACGGGGGGTCTTCTTTTTATCCTCACTCTGGGGTTTCCTCGCCTCAGGCGCAATACGACGGTTCTCGGCGGGAGACCCTTTGCAGCCATCATTCTCGGCCTCCACCATCACCACCACCTCCTCCTCATTCTCGTAGATGCCTTCATCGACAACGGGGATTTCATTTGGAATCTGTCTTGCTCTCTCCGCGGCGAGCTTGGCGTCAATGGCATCGGAGAGCGTTCGCTTTTCGCCTTCCTGGCGGGCCGTCGTCGTGGCGGCGGGCGCGTCCTTCGTGACTTTGCCAAACGGCACCGCCAGAAACAGCCCATCCGGCGACCATCCGATTCGCCGAAACGCGAGCGCATCGGGTTCGCCAAGAAAACCGCCCTGACATCGCCGCTGAGAGGCCAAATGAATCCGATCGCCCGACCGCCTGGCGGGGACGTTCGTGTAGCACTGCAGCGCCGGGCAGGCGCCGAAGCTATGCAAATACCGCCCCCACGGATCCCACGCCACCCCACAGCAGAACTTCCCATGCGGGTTTTGCAGAAAAAACACCGCCATCGTCCCCCCTTCCAAGTCGTGAATCGCGATGCTCCCGTCGCTCGCCCCGCTAAAGATGTAGCGCGCGTCTGGTGAGAACACCAGGTCGTAAACATCGCTTACATGCCCGATAAGATGACGATAATCCTTCCACTCCTCACAAGGGGATTCCATCCCTTCCTCGTTGCCGATAGGGTGACTTCCCGGTGGGGTGGCATTCCACCAAAGGCAGATTTTCCCCTCACAGTGCCCACTCGCGAGCATCGTACCGCGTGGCGACCACCGCGCCGTCAACGGCATCCACATTGTCGTCATTTTGCACACATGACGACTGCAACTCGCCATATCCTTCCCAGGATCGGCAAGCCACTCATCGATCGCGGCGGTGTTGAGTTGCCAGAGTCGAATACACTGATCCCCACCCGTCGTGGCGAGGCGGTGGTGGAGGGGGTCGTAGTCAATGCTGGTGATCCCTTCCGCAGGGGTCGCACCCGGCATCCCGAGCTGCTCTAACTCCTCTCCGATCTCCCGACAATGCCAAAGAAGCTCGAGCGTTCGCGCGCGCAGCGATGGCGCGCCCATGTAGGTCCCTTCTTTTTCCCCTTCCCTCCTTCCGTTGTTGGGGTGGGAGGCTCGCATGACGATTAATAAGGGATCTCACGAGTGGATTGCATAAACCAGGTGCTCGATGTTGACCCTCAGAAAAAAAGGAGAGAAAAGCGCACGAGCCCGGACTCCACTCCTATGTCTATCTATCTATCTATATATTTTTATATATGTATATTTAGATGTTTATGTGCATCTACCAACACATGAGGGGGAAAAGGTTCACACATTCGTCATCCTAAAACAGTACAGCTCGTTCATACATAAAGCGGTAGGGTACAGAATACACATGAAACGTGTAGTTCGCGCCTTCCTTTGTGCTAGACCTTCTGGAAAATCTCCTACTAGATCGCCAAAATATAGCGAGCATCAGATGATAATGCAAACAATGACCACACAAAGGCCATCGACCATCGAAATGATATAGGCAGATAGACCCATCAATCAAAAAAGGATAGTTTAAATAAATAATAGTATGTTTCAGATTAGCAACAATGGTTATATAGAATGTACAACGGAATGGGCGGATTTTCTCAGTTATTCCGTATTCCTCTCATCTTAATGCCATTTCGCTATCATCACAGCCTATTTTTACTGAACTTGCTAGAGGCATCTTCTCTTCAACCCAGGTAACACTTATCGTGAAAAATTACCTTTCCATAAGGAGTTTACTGACGACCATGCATGGAACAGTATTTACAACGATAATGCGCAATCCATTCATTTTCTGCTTGTTTTCAATCTTGACGAAGAGCTGACGAGGGAGGTGCCGTGATTGACAGAAAAAAAGACAAACAACAAAAAAAGATGACTTAAAGAAAGAGGAGGAGGGTTCTAAAGAAAGACCAAGACGTATAATGAGATGCTTGCCGTGTATGTCCTTTGCTGATCAGGAAACTGTGTTGGAAGCCATAGAGCACACCACTTTAGCGCTAAAGCTTTAGCCCTTTTACATAGCCACTGTGATCATCTACAACAGTGCTCTAGTTTGCAGAGATTGGCAATCTCAACGAGCGCGTTGATCATTTGTAGCATAAAGCATACAAACGGAAAGAATTAGTTACATAGCTGGCACCCTTTTTCAGCATCAGGGACTAGAAACAGAAATGAATGGAATGAGAAATAAAATAGTGATATGTTTGAGAAAATCAAGCCAATACATTCATCACTAACGGCAAAAGGTTCTGTGATTACATTTTATATAGGGGGTCATCGTATTAACTTTTATTATGTTTCCTCCTTTTTTTCGTCGGAATAAAAAAAGGAACAACAACCACAAATCGCAATGAAATCACCTACTCACCATAAAATCACGACTACAAACCACACCCGTGATCCAACATCTATAGGTGCCTTAATGCCTTACTCGTTTGCTTTATTTATTTAGTTTTTTGTGTGCGCAATTATATTCGCACACCTTTACGCACCCTTACTGCCATTCTTATAGATCTTTGCACCTAGAGATAGAAGCCTAGCCTGCAGGCTGGAGAGCTTTCGCTCTTCCTTGGATGGCAACAGCGGCGTGGGCGCTATGACCGTCTTGGATGCTTTTGTATCCTCCTGGGCAGCCTGATTGGTTACTTTTCCCCCTCGCGTTTTGTTAGCTTCATGGGGTCGATGACTTCGCGAAAAAGGCTGCCGCACCCTCGCCGCGTACGCATTTCCCTCCCTGCCTTTATCAACCTCCTTAATCTCGGCTGCTGACGTTGGCGTTGCAGCGGCGCCGTTGTCGGTATCATCCTCTCGGCTGTGGTGGTGGTGGCTGCTGCTGCTGTTGGTCGCGGTCGCGCCGTGGTGGGGTGAGGGGTGCGCTTCGTGGAAATTCTTTCGGCATTTCTCCGCTATTTCCGCTGCAATCGCGTAATACTTTTGCCGCGAAGCGTAAAACGGCTTTGGGGGTTTGATCTTCACAGGCTCCCCATCAGGAAAGCGCGCGAGAGCGGAGGCACGATAGGCTTCCCAGAATTCGCTTCGTTCACGCGCCTCCTTCTCTTCCTCGCGTTCACGCTTTCGGCGCGCCTCCATGTACTTATAGGTGAAGTGTGGATTCGCAGGGTAGGCGTAGACGACGCTATCCCGCATCATAATACCGTTCCCTAGAACTTCAAGGACATTCTTGGTGCTTTCGCAGGAGAAATGTGCGTAGTTACGCGTACGGCCTTCTGAGTTGAGACCCAGATCAATGCTATGGGGCTGAATTCCGGTGCGGTTCCGCACAAGTTCCGCGATTTCTCGCTTTGTGCAACCTTCCGGTAGGTTTTTCAGGCATATACGCTTAGCAGGATCCATTAAATAGCATTCCCAAGCGGAAAAGAGTGAATCCTATCTAACCCGTTTTGCACCAATTTGATACTATGAAACCCAAGACTTAAAAATAGCTACTACCATCAAAGTGTAGAGAAAGAAGGAGAAATTAAATTATTGATTTTGACTGATAAGTATAATATAACATCATTATTGCGCAAAAAATTGATCTGATTACACTATGTAAAACTTCGTTGATGATAATCACTTTGAAGTAGTCTAAAAAGGAGAAAGACCTGCAGCAACATGCTCGTCTGTTCCGCACTGCGAACAGGCTTCCGTTTATTAAGGAACTCTTTATTCCTGATGCGGAGCATGCTGGATTCTTTCGCCGCCATATATTTAAGTCATCAAGCCGGTAAATACACTCCCTCAAGTGAATAGGAAGCGCAGTCTGCAACGGCCACGATGTCATTCCAGCGCTAAAGCTAGGATCAGGATCACCCATAAAGCGACTAAAGCGAAAAAAAAAAGAAGCAAAATAAACGTACAGGTTTAAGTGCGTTCCTTAGGCCACTATGGGGTTTTCAATGCAGTCCTTCCTTGACTGAATCCATGATATCTCCACTACAATGCTTATGTAGGTTTAGTATATTATTCTGAGGAAGCCGCAGAAATATAAGACGTTCCGCGAAGTTGTCACCATGTAATTATAAAATTACATTGAAATGAGCTAATAGGCAGACTTTACAATACCCCTCATTTTGGTAACGCGGCAGCACGATTTCTTGTCCGTTGCTACTCTGTAGGAGGTGTTGATGCTGCCCTTATATATGATTCCTCCTCGTGGTATGATTGATTTGGAGGCAACGACATACCCAATAAGATACGCTGAAGTTGACATGAGGAAATACATGTTAGTATCCCGAATAATAATAATAACAACTCAGCTGTCATTCACTAATGTTGCTCAAAGACACCAGTAAACAAAAATGAAACGGCAATGTTCGTATACATATTCCTAATCCGTGAGGAAGTCGTAGATATTTACTAAAGGAACAGTATTTTGAAAACAAAAGCTATAAAATTGTTATTGCTGAGCAACTTTGCAGCGCTCCTAAACGAAATTAACTGTCGAATGTACCTATCTATCCTCCAGTATTTGGGTGATAGGATTTACCTTAAAGGGAGGAAAAATAAATCCAGCCAAACACATGGGATGCGAACCTCCTTTTCTGCAAGAAAATCACAGAATGAAATGAGACATATATATATATATATATATATATATATATACTACTTTCT